AATGTGCAGTCATTCTCCAAGTTCCATGAGGCTTTTTTTTATGGCTAGACAGGGCTGTTAAAAGCACTGTGCACTGTTTTGTCTGTGGAAGTAGAAAGGAGGGTTTGGAACTGCTGGTTTGGCTTTAGGCCTCTCCATAGAACAACTGATAGCACTTCTGGTCATTTATCTGTCTTTTCATGGGAAACATCAGGACCAAGAAGGTTGTGCCCTATTTGTTTTCTGGTTGCCCAGCCTGGTCTTTATTTTTCTTTTTCCCAAGCTTAGTTTGTTCTCTCTTACCCTGTTGAGTGACAAGATACATTTTTCACAGTTGGGTTCAGTCTCTTCCACATTGGCTATAGCTTCCCCAGCATCATACACAATCTTTTCCTACAAACAGACTAAGGAGAGAGAAACAGAGCTTACTCTTCCTCTGGGGCTGCTTTTTGACAGCTTATTTTTCACACTGGTGTTAACCGCCTCATTGGGCCTGTGAAAAGCCTGAGCACTGGGTACCCTGCCTCATCTCCAATTCCGTTAGGATGCCCTGAGCTTCTCCCGTTATTCCAGGGAAATGTCTGCCTGGTAAGTCTTCATTCAGCCAAGCATACCTCATTCCCATTTTGATCCAGTTCATAAAGGAATGATTTCCTTGCACTTGATAGGCATTTTGCAGATTCTGCGTAAGTGTTGGGTTGTGATCTCTTTTTCAGCTTCATTTCCTGCCTAAGAAATATCTCCTTCATATCCCAGAGTCTCATCATCCAGGTGGTCAGATTCTCATGGGAGCAGTTTTTTTTTTTCCCCCAAAGTTTTTGCAGTGGCTAGCAGTTCTGTGAAGGTATGTTCTTAGATCATTAAGGGTTCCTCTACAGAGGGTGCCTCCTCTTAAGCTGGCTGCCACACGAGTTGGGCTTTGGAAAAGAATGGGGACTCAGACACTGAAGGATCTTCCTTTTCTGTCACCTCAGCATCATTCACGTCCTCACCCTCCTCCTTCCAAAGGATTCTAGTTCTTCCCGCTCAGGTCATGAGACAATATCCCTGACTTGTTGCCTTCTTCATTTCTTCCCTCCTATTCAGACAAAATGGCAAGCTAAGGTCTCTAATTTAGAACTGCTCTTCCATTTTTTTTTCCTGACAAATTAGAAGCCTGAAGGGAGGCAGAAGGATGCATATCCTTTTGTAATTGTAATTTTTACTCCAAATGTTTGCCTTTGCTGTGTAGCCAGTTGTGCCTTGGAAGGTAGCTGAAAAGCCCATGGTAATGGCCAGCCCGCTGTGGTGGCAGCACATTGCCCTTCCTTACCACAGTGACTTAAATATTCAACAAATAACAGAAACACACAGTGGGCTGCAAGCCATGCCACTACTACTCACAGAGGCAGATGGCTCATCTGCCAGTGCTGCCTTTCCCTTACCCATTTCCTCAGTCCCCTCTCTGGCTCGCCAGTTGTTTTGGGAAAATCCAGAGTAACAGAACTGGCTACCAAGGTACAAAGTACTGTGGAACCAAAGAAAGAGGACAAATTCCATATGAACTTTATTGGAGATGGGATGGGAACTTAATAGACTCAAATATGATCTCAGGTGCCTAAAAGACATATGAATCTTCACAAGCCAGGAGGAAAAGATTTATAGAGACAGGTGGCTCAAGGTTAGTTGTAATTCACTTGGACTTTTTGAAGAAATATTAACATTCATAAGAGACATTCCAGGCATCAGATAAGAGTGGCAGGTTATCTTACTTACTTTGTCTGCCGTATATGACTTGGGATAACCTTCAGGGTCACATAGAGAGCAGTGGTAGTTGCATTTAAAATGCTGTTGTCATGTCAACCTGATGCCCTGTTATACACCATTTTGCCTTTATACTGAATACCTTGAGAACTGTCAGATTTATTTTTTTTAAATTCTTTACTGACAGGGTAATAACTTCTTCATACTGTTGTCTCTATATTCTCTTTTCCCTGGCTCCAATTTATTGCTTCTTAGGGCTGGCATTGTGACATAGCAGGTTAAGCTGCTGCTTGCAATGCTGGCATCCCATATGGACACTTGAGCCAGCACTCTGATGGGGATGTCAGCATAGCAGGCGGCTCACCAGCCCCTCCATGAGATTCATTACTTTGATTGATTTCTTGGCAGCCTTTTACTTCTGGTTTCTTCTGTGTGTTCTAGATTGTTGATGTTGTTTGATGATTGGAAACCAGGTTAATAAAACATGATTGTAATAAATTTGATAAAAAATGTGAGACAACCTGTTAAAAGGATTTCTGGAATAGATGTGACATGCTATCTGTAAAATTAAGCCATAGATTCCAACTCTGAGTGGTCAAATCTCATTTTTTGTCTCAGGCATCACTTTCTAACTTTGAATAGCTATTTTTTTTTAAAGTTCCATTTATTTTAATTTGAAAGAACAATAGTGAGACACAGAGAGATCTTCCATCTTTTGGTTTTCTCCCTGACTGCCTTGAAAGCCAGAGCTTAGCCAGGCCGAAACCAGGCTGAAACCTGAAACTCCATCTGGGACTCCCAAGGGGGTGGCAGGGACCAAGTGCTTGAACCATTACCTACTACCTACTAGTGTGTGCATTAGCAAGACGCTGGATCAGAAGCAGAGTGAGGATTCAGACCCAGGTTTACCAGTATGGATGTGGGCATCCCAGTGGTGGTGGCTGTGGCTTCTGCTTCTTCTTCAAAGATTTATTTATTTATTTGGAAGTCAGTTACAGAGAGGAGAGACAGAGAGAGAGAGCGAGCTTCCATCCACTGGTTCACTCCCTAGATGGCCTCAGTGACTTGGCAAGAGCTAGGAGCTTCTTTAGGTTCTCCCATGTGGGTGGCAGGGTCCCAAACATTTTCATCACCTTCAGTTGCTTTTCCCAAGTCATCAGCAGGGAACTGGGTTGGAAGTGGAGCAGCCAGGACTTGAACTGGTGCCTATATGGGATGCTAGTGTTGCAAGCCGGTCCCCCAAGTGTTTTCTTAACCACTGTGCCAGGTAGCCACCCCAAACTTTGATAGCTCTAGAAACAAATTGTGTGGGACTGGCGTTGTGGTATAGCAGGTTAAGCCACCACCTATGGCACCGGCATCCCATATGAATGCCAGGTCAAGTCCTGGCTGTTCCACTTCCAATTTCGCTTCCTGCTATTGGCCTGGGAAAGCAGCAGATAATGGCCCAAGTGTTTGGGCCCCTGCGCCACCTGGGAGACCTGAAAGAAGCTCCTGGTTCCTGGCTTCTGTTTGGCCCAGATCCAACGATTGCATTTGGGAGTGAACCAGACAATCTCTCTTTGTAAATTTCAAATACATACATAAATCTTTAAAAACAACCCAACAATGTGTGTGTGTGTGTGTGTGTGTGTGTGTGTGTGTATGTATGTATGTATGTATGTTTAGAGAAGGAAAAGGGAGGGTACTTATTACCTATCATAAATGAAGGTATTCAAAGACTTGCTGAGACTAAAAGTATTTATAATTTCCTAGCTTTTCTAATATTGATATCAACAATAAAACAACACTAAGTAAAAGCAGTTCTTATTAAAATCTTGTAAATTCTCAATAAGAACATTTTTATGCTAGTCTAATTCATTTTGTGTCATATAGGTCTTTTCAAATTTGGTATTTATAATAAAGAATATCTGTTGTGGCCAATGCTGTGGCATAGTGGGTTAAGCCATGGTCAGCAGCGCCAATATTCCATAGAGTCGCCAGTTTGAATCCCTGCTGCTCCACTTCCTATCCAGCTTTTGTGTCTGAGAAAGCAATGGAGGATGGCCCAAATCCTTGGGCCCCTGCACATACATGGGAGACCCGGAGAAATCTCCAGCTCCTGGCTTTGATCTGCCCAGTCCCAGTCGTTGTGGCCATTTGGCGAGTGAACTAGTGGATGGAAGGTATCTCTCTTTCTGCTTCTCCTTCTCTCTCTCTCCCTCTCCCCCTCTCCCTCCCTCTCTTTCTCTAACTCTGCCTTTCAAGTGAATAAATATATCTTAAAAAATATCTTAAGCTATCTATGCGAGTGAGATTCCAGTGGAAAGAACAGGTCATCAAAGAAGGAGGTACCTTTCTCTGAAAGGAGGAGAGAACTTCCACTTTGACTACGACCTTGTCTAAATATAAGAGTCAGTGAACTTGGGCTGGCGCCGCGGCTCACTAGGCTAATCCTCCACCTTGCGGCGCCGGCACACTGGGTTCTAGTCCCGGTCAGGGCGCCGGATTCTTTCCCGGTTGCCCCTCTTCCAGGCCAGCTCTCTGCTGTGGCCCGGGAGTGCAGTGGAGGATGGCCCAAGTGCTTGGGCCCTGCACCCCATGGGAGACCAGGAGAAGTACCTGGCTCCTGCCATTGGATCAGCGCGGTGCGCCAGCCGCAGCACGCCGTCCGCGGTGGCCATTGGAGGAATACCTTTCTCTCTGTCTACCTTTCTCTCTGTCTCTTTCTCTCTCAATGTCCACATTGCCTGTTAAAAAAAAAAAAAAAAAGAAAAAGAAAAAAGAGTCGGTGAACTCAAAAGGCTTCCATAGCTATGGCAACTTATGACAAGAGCCTAGAGTGATTACTGATGCCATAAACAAGAGTGTCAATTTGTTAAGTCAACAACAGGAGTCACTGTGCACTTACTCCTCATGTAGGATCTCTGTCCTTAATGTGCTGTACATTGTGATTTAATGCTATAACTAGTACTCGAACAGTATTTTTCACTTTGTGTTGCTATGTGGGTACAAACTGTTGAAATCTTTACTTAATATATACTAAACTGATCTTATGTATATAAAGAGAATTGAAAATGAATCTTGATATGAATGGAAGGGGAGAGGGAGCAGGAAAGGGGAGGGCTGCGGGTGGGAGGGAAGTTGTGAGGGGGGGAAGCCATTGTAATCCATAAGCTATACTTTGGAAATTTATATTCATTAAATAAAAGTTTAAAAAAAAATCTTAAGCTGAAAACTAGAATTCTAGAGGTAATGTTTTTCTTATAAAGCTTTGTATCTGCTTTCCCCTTGCCTAGGAAAATGAATTACAATGAATTAACAGAAATACCATATTTTGGAGAGCCATCATCTAATATTACTCTGCTTTCATTGTAAGTGATTAAGATTTCAGATCTTTTACATAAATTATGGACAATGTACAGTTTGTTTTCTTGTTTAAGTACTCATATTATTGATCCTAATTTAACTTTCTTTTGTCCTGGGGTGGATCACTAGCAATAGCTTCAATATAATGTTTATTTTGTAGAGTCCATAATCTAATTCCAGAAATAAATGCAGAGGCATTCCAGTTTTACCCTGCTCTTGAAAGTTTGGACCTCAGCTCAAATGTAATATCAGAAATCAAGACATCCTCATTTCCTCGAATGCAACTTAAATACCTGTAAGTAAAAAGAATTTACGTTAGATTTACTTTAAAGTGCATACTTATTGTTGGTATCCCAAATATCTGTTAGTTATTGTGATTTTGTTACACAAGTGTAAAAAAAAAGTAAAGTCAAGTTTTTGGATTATTTTTTCTTGTTTCCCCCAAAAGAAAGAGGGTATTATTCTCAGAAAATACTAGCGAGTACCTAGGGTAATTTTTGAGGTTTAAATCTGATTTTTTTAAACCAATAGCTTTGTTAAAAGCAAAATAGAAGTGGTTGTTATATAATGATGATGATAATTAAACATGTATGCTAGTGTTTTCTAGTTTATAAAGCATATTCACACATACTGTTTCATAACAACCTACATGAAATAGGTCTCATCCTAATTTTGTAGATGAACAAAGCAAGCAGTTAACTGTTTTGTAAAGTTGTTAAGTGATAGAGCTGGAGCCTAGTCATAGGGCTGCTTTCCACTGGTCGGATTTTTTTATTTTACTATATTTTTTTTATCTGTTGTCTTTTTCATTTTAGAAATTTGAGTAATAACAGGATAAGCACCCTGGAAGCTGGTTGCTTTGATAATTTATCAAGTTCTTTATTAGTGGTAAAGTTAAACCGGAACCGGATTAGCATGATTCCACCTAAGATCTTCAAGCTGCCCCACCTCCAATTCTTGTGAGTAACTAGATGAAGAAGTAGAGTTTTTCCTAGTCTTTTTCTTTATAATTTTGTTGGAGCAGTTTAACAAAAAAATTTTCTGACCGTAAAACTATTTTTGTTAAAGGGAACTTAAAAGGAACAGGATTAAAATTGTGGAAGGTCTTACATTCCAAGGGCTTGACTCCTTAAGATCTTTGAAAATGCAGCGGAATGGAATTAGTAAACTTAAGGATGGAGCATTTTTCGGCCTGAATAACATGGAAGAACTGTAAGTACTAGAAAGGAGCCTGGGACTTTTCAGTGCCAAGCGGCTGGGATTGTTGGCTTGGTTATACGAGGGTACATTCATTCTTTCTCTGTCCTCTGATGTGAAATAAGTACACACAAAGCTTTTTAAGTTTGGTTAACCAGGTGGTATTTTGATTAATTGTTCTTACAAATTTCTCATCTAAAAATGTTTACATTCCCTTAATGTTCTGACTGATGGAAATTCCGAAAATTTATTCAGAACAGGAATCCTATACCACTTGGCATGTTGATTTTGGAGATCTGCCATTTTAGATAGTCTTACTGTCCTCTAGCACTAATTTTTAAGTAAGATACAAGTATTTATTGAATAGAATTTGTTGGCTCATTTGGATTGAAGAGAGGTATATGCTTTTCTGAGAAATGAGATTTAAAACTACTTGTCATTGAAATGCCTCGTTTTGAAATGTGCTTTCTCCTCTCGAATTCTGCAGAGAACTGGAACACAATAACCTTACTTGGGTGCATAAGGGGTGGTTGTATGGCTTGCGAATGCTACAGCAACTCTATGTGAGCCAGAATGCCATTGAAAGAATCAGCCCTGATGCATGGGAGTTCTGCCAAAGACTCTCCGAACTGTAAGTGTTGGGTGGCGTTTCTGGCGAGGCTGCGGGCCTAGAAGGGGTTGGAATAAAGCATTCCCATGATCAGTAATGGTATCTGACACCTTTCTTTCTTAGAGTGTGCAAGAATTTGTATGTTGAACCAAAATATAATGAGCTGCTTTCCTTCCATGTTTCCTGTTTTTAGTGATTTGTCTTATAACCAGCTGACCCGCCTGGATGAGTCTGCCTTTGTGGGTCTGAGTTTACTGGAGAGATTGAATTTAGGGGACAACAGAGTCACTCATATTGCTGATGGTGTATTTAGGTTTCTTTCCAATCTTCAGACACTGTAAGTATCCATTTCCCTCCCTCTCCCTTCCCTCCATGCTAAATTTTTTTAACATGATACAGAAAATTAAAACGACTAATCAGTCTATAGATTTATGTGTGCTAATATTTTGTGGTTCTTTCGTACTATGCCTTGAGGCAAGACAATCTTACTTGTCTCTATCCCCATAAATAAGATTTATTTCAATACTGTGATAGGCACTTTTTTTTGTACTTTAATTCTGAGTTAATGACCTGAACAACAAAGCCTCTCTCACTGTGCCAGTTGCTGTGAATAAAACACAGTTGCTAGCGTCAAGAATGCAGTCAGTCATTTTCTTGTTCCTTTAACCTTGGTGATGTACCACACTGCTGTTTAAGAGGATGCAGGATGAGTGGGAGGAGCAGCTCTGTTCACTGTTGCGGTTTGCTGCAGGACAGAAGAAATTAACACTTACTATCTGATATGTGCCAGGTACTTTCAGATGCCAGAAATTTTGCTGCTGTTTTCTTTTGGGGGTTGAGGTTCAGAGACATCAAAATAACTTGCTCAGAATCACATACTTTGTAAACGTGTGGGCCAGAAATGGAACCCAGGTCTCCCTGATATGAAAGGTCATGTGTGCTTTGTCATCCCACCAGGTAGCAAAATCCCTTAGCTTTTCCTGGGCACCATTTTTTGGGTCTCTTCCTCCAGTTGGGGAAGGATCTAGGACTAGATAGTTGTTAAAGACAACTTAAACTCTAAAACCCTGTGGCTCTGTAAGTTAAATGTTTTATCCTGATCAAGGAATAGAATTTATTGAATGAAGCAGTATTTGAATGAAATACGGTAATCTCAAATAGAGCAGAATCAGAAAAAACAGTAATTAGTAGAATTTGTAACTTCTTAAGTTTCCTCTCTAGTGAACTTTCTGGTCATCAAGTTTAGAATTGATAAATGATTTCAGAAAAGAGGCTCCCAATTTTGGGATCTAGCCATCAGTGAGAAGGACAGCATGATAATTTTGTGAAGGTGTATGTGTGCACATGCACAGAGGTATGGTTTTTTTTATAAGTTCTTTCTGATTTGGCCTTATAAAATTCAAAATGGTTTTCTTTTTTTCACTTTGCTGCATTATCAGCAGTAAAACTAGAGGAGTGGAAATTGGGCATCAGATGCACCTGCAGCTTTTTGGCAGTTCAGGGAGTGACAATTTTTCACTGGTTACTGCTTGTATAATTAAAATTTATGGATATAGTTGCAGAAGTAAATGATTTCCTAGTGGCTCAGAAACAGTTAAGGTAGAACTAGGATTGAATCTTAGAAACTGCTTAGCTCAGTGCTCTTTTTTTTTTTTTTTTTTTTTTTTTTTAAAGATTTATTTATTTGAAAGGCAGAGTTACAGAGAGGCAGAGGCAGAGAGAAGTCTTCCATCTGCTGGTTCACTCCCCAGATGGCTGCAACAAGCTGAGCTGAGCCAATCTGAAGCCAGGAGCCAGGAGCTTCTTCCAGGTTTCCCACATGATTGGAGGGGCCCAAGGACTTGGGCCATCTTCTACAGCTTTCCCAGGCACATCAGCAGGGAGCTGGATTGGAAGTGGAGCAGCCAGGACTTGAACCAGCACCTGTAGGAGATGCCGGTGCCACAGGCCAGGGCTTTTAACCAGCTGCACCACGGCGCTGCTCCTGAAAGAATAAATTTCCTTTTTTTAAGAAAATACACTGACCACTGTATTACATGTAATACATGTAATACATGGGAATATCATTCTTGCTTCCCAGGGGGTATATTAATTGCTTTGAAGCTGTGAAGCTCTGTATTTGGTACTATTCTTTGTCAACTGTTTTAAGTTTAAAGACCCTGGGGGAAAGCTTGGGTCTCCCAAAAATCTCAGTTGTCTTAAATCAGATTTGTAAGCCATATCCTCTGTATCTTGTGATCCTCCTACTTTAAAAAAACTTTTTAAAAATATTTATTTATTTGAAAGAGTTACAGAGCAAGAGGATAATATAGAGAAAGTCATTTGCATCCACTGATTCACTCCTCAAAAGACCAAAATCGCCAGGGCTGGGCCAGGCCGAAGCCAGGAGCCAGGAGCTTCTTCCAGGTCTCCCACATGGGAGACAGGGAGCCAAGCAGTTCAGCAGTCTTCTGTTGCTTTCCCAGACACATTAGCAGAGAGCTGGGTCAGAAGTGGAATAACTGAGACTTGAACTGGCATCCATGTGGATGCCAGTGTTGCAGGCATTGGCTTAACCCACTGTACCACAATGCTGGCCCCAGTTCTCCTTTTTGCAGGACCCTGTCTATCATGTTTAATATACTGACACAATTCAGGACTCTGTAAAACTCAAAAAAGCTACTTTAAGTTGTGGCTACAGGGCTGAATCTGTGGGTGGCAAAGCACTCTCAACACAGAGATAGAATAATCAGAAATTTATTTATAACTAAAGAGAAAGAAATAGTTAAGAGGAGAAATCACCGTATTGGAGGAGAGATGCCAACACCTGAAGTGTTGTGGCTGGAGAATCCCGAAATAGTGTGTCTTCAGGGTCTGGATGGGAGGTCCTGGGCAGTGTCTTCTCCATGGGTGAGATTTTGAAGTTTTTCCCTCCCAAAGCCTCTTAAATATCATTGTGAACAAAGGTGGCTTTTACCCAAGGGTGCTTGTGTGACTGGGGTGTTTAATCTCCTAGGAACTGGCTAGGGACCAGGGGGGACCACCACTACCACCCCACCTCCCTTAGTTCATATCTCAAGTGAAAACAGCTTGTTTTTCTGTGCAGGTGAGTCAAACCTACAGAAAAAAACAGCACCTGCAGCTCTGGGCTGTGGAATTTATAGGGCAAACAAGGAACATGGAAGATCTTTCTCTTCATATGAATCCTTTAGACTGTTAGCTAGGAAGATAGTACTCCTGGCAGGTGTCTTGATTTATTTATCAAGGCCAGCTGAATTCTTAGCCTGTGAGAGTCAGTTTGAACTTAAAAAAGAAAAAAAAAAAAAAAGCCAGGATTAAGTCTTCATCATAAATAACTGCTAAAATAAGATTGAAAATTAGTATAAATCCATTGACACTGCCATGTCCAGATGCTGACCAGTGGTGTGATGGTTGTGCTTTCATAACCTATTTTTCTCTGACATTTTTGTAGAGACTTAAGAAACAATGAGATTTCATGGGCCATAGAAGATGCTAGTGAAGCCTTTGCTGGACTCACAAGTCTCACTAAATTGTATGTATTTCTGTTTGTGTCTACAAAGTGTGTTTTTGGGACCCAATTGTAAATGTGATGAGTTAGTTTGATAGTGCGGAGCCTTCTGATCACTCTGCTGATGGAGGGGGCTTTGTCGTGTGACAAAGTTTGTGTTGGTGATGTTGGGGCACTTTTTATTGACAAAGTGTTGCTGTGGGCACTTAGAGGAAAGTTACTCATGGAACTGGAATTTCTATTCAAGTAGAAGAAATGCACTGAAACACCATAGTTGGACTGATCATCTGTTTAATTGTGTGAGATTAGTGAGTGATTCATCTGAAGGGGAGGGTTTTCTAACATGAAGATTTTAGCTCTTCCATGAGAAAAGTTTCTTCCAGCATTCACACTATTTTATTAAAAAAATTTATTTATTTATTTAAAAGGCAGAGTTATAGAGAGACACAGAGAGAGAGAGAGAGTCTTCCATCTGCTGCTTCACTCCCCAAATGGCCACAACGGCTGCAGCTGGGCTGATCCGGAGCCAAGAGCCAGTAGCATCTTCTGGATCTCCCATGTGGATGCAGGGGCCCAAGAACTTGGCCCATGTTCTCTTGCTTTCCCAGGCCATGGCAGAGAGCTGGATCAGAAGTGGAGCAGCTGGGATTTGAACTGGTGCCCATATGGGATGCTGACACTGCAGGCGGAGGCTTAACCTGCTATGCCACAGCACTGGCCCCCACACTTTTGTCTTTGATCTGATCTTTTGGCAAGAAGAGAGAAATGGGGAATATAATCCGTTTTAGTTTATGATAACTACTAGTTAGCCAGTGGTCAGGATGGTTGTCCGGAGGTACCTCATTGAGCTCCAGCATCTTAATAGAAGGATTCATGCTGTGCTTTGTACTGGTTAACAGTACAAGTTCATAGCTTTCTAAAAAGATGCATGTTATCATCAAATTATTTACATAAAATGTGTTTATTTCCTTGCACGTACATCGACTATACCTCAATGAACCTGTTAAAAAAAACAGCAAAAATAATTCTTATACTGATTTTCACTTTGTACAGAGACATGTTTAATGAATTCAATTTCTTTTCAGAATCTTACAAGGAAACCAGATTAAATCAATTACAAAGAAAGCATTCATTGGTCTTGAATCTCTTGAGCATCTGTAAGTATTTTTGAAATACATTTAGCTCACTAAATAAGTAATCTTTGTTACTAGCAGAGGTTTTTCTTCACCATTTTTAGAGTGTTTATGTAACTTAATTGTAGAAATGGTGACTGGTAATGTTTCATTTCTCTTTAGGGATTTGAACAACAATGCTGTAATGTCTATTCAAGAAAATGCTTTTTCTCAGACTCACTTGAAAGAACTGTAAGTAACTTAAGCCTTTAAAAATTTTTTTTAAATAATCGATGAGATCATTGTCTAAGTGCCCACCCTAGAATTGCTGTTTTCTTTAAAAAAATATTATGTTTATTTTCATTTATTTGAAAGGCAGAGAGAGATGCATGAAAATCTTCTGTTTGCTGGCTCACTTTGCAAATTCCTGCAATAGCCAGAGCTAGGCCAGGCTGGAGCCAGGAGCTTGGAATTCAATCCAGGTCTCCAGCGTGGTGGCAGGGACCACAGTACTTAGTGCAGCACCTGCTTCCTCCAGAGGTGTGCTTTATCAGGGGCTGGAATCGAAAGCGGATCTGAGACTTGAATGCAAGCACTGTGATTTGGTATGCAAGCATTCCAAGAGGTGTCTTAACCGCCAAAACCCTCAAGGTTGCTGTTTCAGATAAAGTAGTGAGGGGAGGCTTCTGAATTCACAGCATTTGAACCAGGACCTTAATGAAATGAAGTGACAAACCACGTGAATACTGGGTGAAGGGCTTTCCAGTCACGGGAAGTGAAATGAGATCAGAGAGTAAAGCAGGAGCCAGGTCATGTGGGACCTAATAGGTCATAAGGAATTAAAATTTTTTTCCTAAATGCTTCAAGGAATTTTGGACAATTTTGGGAAAATCCTTAGTCCAGAGTCTGGCATATAGTAAAAGTTGAATAGTTTTTTTTTTTTTTTAAAGATTTATCTATTGATTTGAAAGAATTACACTGAGAGAGGAGAGGCAGAGAGAGAGAGAGAGAGATCTTCCATCCGATGGTTCACTCCCCAATTGATAACAGTGGCCGAAGCTGAGCCGATCCAAAGCCAGGAGCCAGGAGCTTCCTCCAAGTCTCCCATGTGGGTGCGGGGGCCCAAGGAGTTGGGCCATCCTCCACTGCTTTCCCAGGCCACGGCAGAGAGCTGGATCGGAAGTGGAGCAGCTGGGTCTCGAACCGGCGCCCACGTGGGATGCAGGCGCTTCAGGCCAGGGTGTTAACGTGCTGTGCCACAGTGCCAGCCCCAAGTTGAATAGTTTCCATTAAAAACAAAAATTACAGTGCTATGAAAACCATCATTTGTTGTTTTCTGCCAAATTTTTAAAGTGGCATTTTTTATTTTTTGGTAGGGGAGAGATATGTTGATATTTTTAATTATTTCTCCTAGGCTTAATTTAATTTATAAGGGTACACTTTACTGCAATTTGGTACTACTTTTTTTTTTGCCAATGATAATATCAGCAAGAAAGGATTCTTTTTACAATTATTAATTTATTTTCATTTATTTGAGAGGCAGGGGGAGAGAGAGAGAAAGAAAGAGAGGAAGGAAGGGTGGGAATGAGAGAGGAAAGGAAAAATCTTCTGTCCCCTGATTCACTCAAACGCCCACAACATCTAGCTCTGGGCCAGGCCAAAGCCAGGAGCCCACAACTCCAGCTGTATGTTCCATGTGAGTGGCAGGGACCCAAATACTTGAGTCATCATTTGCTGCGTCTCAGGACACATTAGCAGGAAGCTGGACCTGAAGCAGAGTAGATGCCACTTGAGCCAGGCACTCCACTGTGGGATGCCTGTGTGTCCTGAAAAACCATGGCTTAACTCACTGCACCACAGCACTTGCCCCAAGTAAGCATTAATTCATTGTAAGAACCCAGTATAACGTAATTTAGTAAGTGAAAACAAATATAGTTTGAGTCTTCAGAGAGTCCTTTAGTAATTTGAGAGTTGTAGCCAAAATTCTTTGCTTGACCACCCTGTAGTCAGGCTCTTGAACCTCTCCATTCCATCTGAGTGCTCCATTGTAAAATTCAGTTTTAGCAAGAAGCCACCCTCCTGAATATCTAGTCATCCTTCATCTGATCAGATTCCTCATCCTGCAGCATTCCTCAGTGACGTCTGATCGCCCTGGCTGTGTAAGCAGGAGTCATGTTAGGTGGATTTAACTAGACTCTTTACTCCTGATGTTACCTCTTAGTAATTTTCCATACAGCAATCCCCACCCAACTCCTTGGCTATAAATTCCTCCTTGCCAAGGCTGTATTGGGAGTTGAGCCCAGTCTCTCCCCCTTTCAAAATTCCATTGCCATGGTCCCTGTGCTTATTGTGGTGGTCCTGAATAAACTCTACCTTACCATGCTTTAACAAGTATCATTGAGTAATTTTTTCTTTAACAGTTGTGGTGCTGTGACTTGGATAGGATCAGATTCATCATTGGACCCCCGGACCTCTCACCCAGGACCCCAAGTGTGCACCTTTGAAGCCTTTGTCTTCACTCCTGACTGATTGATCGGGGATCCAATGGTGAGTCAGACTGATGAACCATTGCTCCGGATGGGTGTCCGTTGAAGCTGGTAAGGAAAGATTTTTATTCTTAGGATTCTAAGTGTACTCTATAAAGCTGGGTTAGAGTCTCAGGCTTCTTTGAAAGATACCTCCTGAGATAGAAGGTCTTTCTCTTGACTTTTTGCTTTGTAGGGGTTATTCCCTGACTCCCTGGGCTCTTCTGGTATTCTATGAGGCCTCTCTTCTCTTTTGGATCCTGCTTCTCCCATGGGGATTTTTCTGTCACAAAAACCTCCTCTTCTCAAATACCTGCAGACTATGTACTCTACCAACTCTGTCCACCTCCTTGTTAGGACTTCATTAGCCTCTTTGGGAAACTTAAGATATCCCCAAACTGGCTGCACCCAAGATCTCTTCCTTCCCATTGCTGCTACTCCTTCTCCTTCCTCTTACTAACTTTAATCTTCCATCCAATTCCCTTGAATGTTCCCTCCAATTTCCATGAATCCTTTGATAAGTCCCCCTGCAGATCTCCACCTGCTTCAGCCCGTTGTCCACTGCAGCCACTCGGTTGCCTGAATGTCAGCCCCCTACCTCCTCTGGGAGTCTCAGGGGACTCAGGGACATGCTAAAGCAACTACCTGAGACTAAAAAGGAAAAGGGGTAATTGAAGGTAGACAACATACCTTATCTACATACAGGTGGGCTTTGGAGATACACAGGCAGCCTGCAGATGTCTTTTGTGTCTCTCTGAGATGACGTATCAGGACAAAAGAAAATCTTGAAAGTCTTCTCCAAAAATACTGGTAAACAGACACAATGTGGATAAAAATATACAAAGTGGAGGAAATAGGAGAGCTAACTATTTTATATGAACTAGTAAGTTTGTATTACTTGTTTTACTGACTCATGGCTGAAGTTCTAGAGGGAAAGCTGTAAGATCCATGTTTGCATCTGTGTGTGTGTGTGTGTGTGTGTGTGTGTGTTAACAAGTCTAACCTACTTACATCATGAATAATGGTGAAAATACAGCAAATCTGTATGCAAGGAAAGTGTGATATGTTTTTGGTAGAAAAGGATATGAGAAATGAAGATGTGTTTTTCTTGAGTAGAAAGAAAAGTAGTTTTGTCCTACTTGGAGATCAATTAAAGTGTTAGATTGAGAAAGAAGAATGAAAGGGGAGGGCTGGCGCCGCGGCTCACTTGTCTAATCCTTCACCTGTGGCGCTGGCACCCCAGGTTCTAGTCCCATTTGGGGCGCTGGATTGTGTCCCAGTTGCTCCTCTTCCAGTCCAGCTCTCTGCTGTGGCCCGGGAAGGCAGTGGAGAATAGCCCAAGTGCTTGGGCCCTGCACCCACATGGGAGACCAGGAGGAAGCACCTGGCTCCTGGCTTCAGATTGGCGTTGTGCACTGGCCGCAGCACACCAGCCGTGGCAGCCATTTGGAGGGTGAACCAATGGAAAAAGGAAGACCGTTCTAACTCCGCCTGTCCAAAAAAAAAAAAACAAAAAAAAACAAAAAAATGGGGTTGGGGGGGGAATGAAGGATAACAGGATAAAATGTGGGGTAAGATTGGGCCTGATTGTTAAGGTGCTTGTTGGGATACCAGGATCCTGTATCAGAGTACCTGATTTGAGTCCTGGACCCACTCCCAATTCCGGCTTCTTGCTAATGAGTGCCCTGGGAGGCAGTAGGTGATGGCTCAAGTAATTGGTTCCCTGCCACCCATGTAGGATACCTGGGTTTCTGCCTACCTTGAACTCATCCAGTCATGGCTGCCAAAGGCATCTGGGTTAGAGTAAACTAGCAGATGGGTGTGCTCTCTGTTTGTTTTCCTGCCTCTTGAATAAATAAATTATAAAAATTTTTTTAATAAAAGCATCTGGTGGTTATAGAGTAAGTTTTTAAAGCAAATTTCAGTATCAATAGTATACCAAACAAAATTAAAATTTAATGTCTTTCAGCTGTTAAAAGGTCAAAGTTTTGTTTTGTTTTAAAGATAATATTTATTTATTTGAAAGGCAGAGCAACAGATACAGACAGACACAGAGATATCTTCCATCTGCTGATTCACTCCCCAAATGGCCACAGTAGCAGGTCTGGGCCAGGAACTCCATCCTGGTCTGTTACATTGATGGCAGGGGCCCAAGTACTTGGGCTGTCTTTTGTTGCTTTCCAAGGTGAATTAGTAGGAAGTGGAACAGCCAGGACTCCAAAAAACAATCCAGTATGGAATGCCAGCTTTATAAGCAGTGGCCTAACCTGCTGTGCCATGATACTGGCCTCTTTTTTTTTTTTTTTTTTTAAAGATTTATTTATTTATTTGAAAGGCAGAGTTACAGAGAGGCAGAGAAAGAGGGAGAGAGAGAGAGAGGCCTTTCATCTGGTTGACTGGTTGACTCCCCAGATGGCTGCAATGGCCAGAGCTGCTCCAATCCAAAGCCAGGAGCCAGGAGCTTTTTCTGGGTCTCCCATGTAGTGACCCAAGGACTTGGTCCATCTCCCACTGCTTTCCCAGGCCATAGCAGAGAGCTGAATCGGAAACAGAGTAGCTGAGACTCGAACCAGTGCCCATATGGAATGCCAGCACTGCAGGCAGCAGTTCTACCCGCTATGCCACAGCACTGGCCTTGATACTGGCCTCTTGAAAGGGTTTTCTTCTTCTTTTTTTTTTTTTTTTAAAGATTTATTTATTTACTTGAAAGAGTTACACAGAGAGAGA